GAAAGAGTGGTGGCATGTTTTCCTCTAAAATGATGATTGGATTATGAAGTTTGTGGGTTATACCAGAAGTGGACCAGACTGTTTTAACGTCATCACCAAAAGATAACTAGCAATGTGTGTATTTGGCTGTACCGCTTGAGGAATATTTACTCTCCTTTTCCCATCAGCAGTTGTATTTTCATGCTTGAACTGGAAGGATGAGGATGCAAACTGCTTAGATTTTTTTTTTTTTTTTTTTAAGCTTATCATTACCAGCATAACTGTCAGCTATTCTTGGGGATAAACTATGCTGTTTTGATTAACCTTAAAATGCCTGTCCTTGTTTTTGTTTTCCAAATCTCTTTCTCCAAATCTCCCATCTGTTAGAGCATGATTTTAGGTGCTTCATTCACTAGACTGTTGAGCTGTAGACTGCAGCTGAGAGCTCAGTGTGTGAATGACGCTTAAGATGCTTGGCATGTGCACCATTGTGTGCCTGGCAGAGGAATTTGGTGGAACTGGAGGAGACCACTGGAAGAGAGTGAAGAGTATAGAGTGCCATAAAAATATTAGATGTAAAATTGATGTCAGACACAGATCTCAGGAGACTATATATTGTTGGGGAAGCAGAGATTTAGTTGGGGGTTTTCTAGGTGGGATTTTGTTTTGTTTTTGGTTTGGGGTGTTTGGGGGTTTTTTTTACCCTTTGAATATCTAGGAGAATGGGAACATGTACAGATAGCTTATTTTTTTGGTACTGTAGCACTTCTCTGTTTCCAGTCCTTGCTCTGGCCAGTATACTTTCAGTTCCTGTTTCGACCCTTTCTTCCTTTTCTTCTCCTAGGTGTTGGTGGAGAGGTGCTTTCCACCACAAAGTTTCTTTTCTGAAAAGTGTTTGGTTTTGTGAGTGGTGGGTTTTGTTTGTTCCTTTTTCTGCCTGTAAGCCCTGAGCAGGGTATGGAGTCCTCCAACAGCGTGTAGCCCCCACCTGTGAGTAATGGCATTTTGTCCCACAACTTACTGTCAGCATGGCCAGGGGCTCCCTTGCATTATCCTCCACCTACATCACAGAACATTTTGTGGTCTGAAATTTTATTTGTGGCTGATGCTACCTTTTGACTTTGATTAATAAATGGGATAACTTTTAAATTGGTATGCATGCTTGGAAGCTGCCTCTTCCATGCTTACAACTATACCACTGGCTGTATTGCATGATAACGTGCAACTTACTGTCTTAAGAAACATAAATCTGACTTGGAGCAAATTTCAGAAGCCAGACTGAGGGATGTAGTTACAGATATAAACCCAACTGAACTGTGGCAGAGCAACTTCAAAGTGGTTTTATTTGCATCTTTCCATCTCTGCGTACTTATAGTTAATTGCTTCTGTATGTAATACAAGTACAGTATTTAGATATTAGAGCATCTGGAATACATACAGTATATTGGATAAATACATGGATGCTATATCATAGCACTTGAAACCCTAGTATTCTTGAGGCTGAGTTGTGTTACTCATTAGTCTTTTCCATTAAGCTAGGAGGATCTGTCACGTATCTACATCACCAATAGCAAGCCACTGGCATTAGTGGGTTTGGATTAGACAGAATGTTTGGGCCCCTGTGGATGACAATGAACTACCGTGCTCTGTAGGATACATCTGGTATCATATACTAAAGAGGTTTGTGGTTATTTTCTAAAAACCATCAGTGCTAAAGACAAATCTAGAGATGAGAGGTGGGAATCCTTATTCCACTGACAGACTTTTCCTTACTACAAAGATTTCAATCTCAATTCCTTGCTTTTTAATTCGAGTCATCTGTTGTTGCAGTTTCATGTTTCAAACCTTTGTTACTCTGTTAAAGAATTGGGTTGGGCCACTAAAACCTTTTTATTCATGTGTAGCAGCACATCTGCCATTTATACTCACGTAGATTACTGCTATTAATACTATTTTTTTTAAGAACATATGGTTTGGATATGTTAAAGTTTACAGATCTGGGCTCTAACCAGTAATGTTCTTTTTTACTATAAGACTGTAATAAATGCCTCTCAGGTTAGAAAGTAATCCAAGGAATGGGACTGTACTGGAATAGTAGG